CACCATCCCTGGAGGTATTTAAAAGATGGGTAGATGAGGTGCTTAGGGACATGGTTTAGTGGGCATGGTGGTGTTGGGTTGACAGTTGGACTCGATGATCTTAGAGGTCTTTTCCAACCTTAATGATTCTATGATTCTAAGAAGTATCCTTGAACCAAAGGATCCAGCAGCCTTTGTTCAAAGACTACCCAAAGAACATCACTGAAATAATGCAGGACAGGGAGAGCCACCAAAGACCAAGTCAGGAAGCACTGCTAAATGAACCCCAAGAATATCCCTCATCTACTTCATTGCCAAGTCACTTGTTGGAGGAATGGTAATCTCTGGATGAAGGGCAGACCCTGCCAGTTGAGGGATGCTAACATCTTAGCTGACCACAGCTGTTTTTACAAAGAAGGTCTGACTACAGACCTAAAACACATCCAGTTGTTTCTTCTGTTCCATGTCTAGTTAGTGTTTAGAAATATAGCCACAAAGCACCAGATCATGTTGATGCCTCATATTTTCACATGTATCTAATTTCAACAAATTTACATTGCTTTTATACCTGTAAATCCAGTTCAGACTGGTTATAAGTAAGTTTACTGTAAATACACTTACAACAGTGTAATTTTGCTTGCTCGCTTAGGGGATTGAACTATTTCAATACTGTTTATAAACTCATGCTGTCAAAATGGCAAAAGAATCATGAATAAAGTGAGCTCCACAAACTTCATTTTTAATATTTAAGGCATTGCAAGCAATAACTGTATTCTGAGATGTCCTGAGTATCACAGCACTATTAAGGCCATTTTCTGAAGTTTGCATCCCATCTAAGAGTTTGAAAACAATAGAAAAAGAAAATCCCCACAGACACACAGTAAAACACACCTACCCTTCTCACTGTCACTGAAAACCCTTTTCCACAGGCCATACAATTCTGTACCTCATTGTCTTCTGCCCACTTCCTGTTGAGAGCTTGGGTGTGTTTGATCTATATAGAAGATATAAAAAAGCAGGGTTTTTTTAAATGCATGTCTAATTCCTAATTTCCTCTATTTTCACTGCACACACTACCCAGGGCTGCATAAAAGCACCAATTCTGCCATGATATTGAGAGCTTATATTTGTTCAGAGATAAAATCTTCCAAGTTTCAAAACTGTGAGCAGATTTAAGAACCCACAGACAGCAATATGGCCCTCATACACCACAAGCATAACATCTTAATCACTCTGGAAAGGTAACCCACCACCAATCTGACACAAACTTGAAATTCTCTTAAGTTCCTACACAGAGAATCAACAGGTTTAATTGCTTCAAATCAAATTATACCTGTAACGACTGGTTTTCTCGGCCAAGTTCCTGCATTGCAGCAGTAGTGTTGTCCAGCTTTTTCTTCATTTCTACAAGTTTGGCTTGAAGCTTTTCAATTTCTCCCTCACTTTTTATACACCTGAGGAAAAATAGTAAATAGTCAGCTCAAAGCATATAAGGCAATGTACACTGCCTCCTTTGGGCAGGTTGTCATGTCTGAGAAGTTACTCTCATAAAATCCAGCCAAAAATATCCTTGCTGTGAAAAGTTCTTGGATGCCTTGACTGGAAAAATGTTCTGCGGTAACAATCAGTTTAAGATTATCTGGCATTGCTCCCAAATATCTGTGGCTTATTAATACCTGGAGTTACTCCCAAAACGAGGGACAGTACTGAATGCAGTCCCTCGACAGCAAGCGCCCATAAGTACCCCTGTGCAACAGGACACCCTCACAAACCAGCTGCAGCAGATCAGGTCAGACAAGGGAGCCAAAAAGAAACCTTTTTCTTTTAGCACGGCCACCTCCCATCAGCTGAAATTTGGTTAACTGTTGAAAGCCAAATTTCAAAGGGTGTTTTTCTGCCAAGCTGTAAATGGCTACTGGATGAGTACAGCACAATATGGCAAGGGATTGCCAAAACAAGAGGATCTCACTTGAATTGATGCCGTCCTTTCCCAAGGTCTCTGCTCAAAAACCAAATCAGCAAGCTTGACAGTATCAAAAAAAGTTTTCCACTCTGCCTTCACCAAACATGTCAGGAAATAAGGACAAAGAAAGTCTCCTGTCTCTCAGGTGTTTCTTCTACCCTTGTAATCATGCTTTCAGGTAACTCCCACTGCCTTGCATGCCTCCTGCTGCCTGAAGGAAAGGCATTCTGCTTACCTAAAATTTAAATATATTGTAGAGACAATAGCAGAACTGGAGAAAAGACAACTGTAGGTTTTCAGAAGGAAGAAAATGCCTCTTGTGTGAACCTCAGTTTATCTAATCCAATTACACGTTCAATCTCCTAACACTGAGCCGTGAGCACGCCTAGAAGTCCCTAAGCAAATTCTGTGTTACCGGAGGAACTAAGGAGTCTCTTCCAGGCTTCTGGATGACTAGTGCATCTAACTCTGATTGAGTCAAGGCAGGGGAGCCTCAGAGTGATGGAGAAGGATAGTTAACTCAGGTAAGAGAAGCTCTCACTGCCAGGCCTTGCAAGGGTCACACAACAGATGAGATGAGAAGCCACAACCTACACACCTCAAAGTTCAGAGGAGTCCAACGGATTTAGAAGGCTTTTATGGATGGACATAAATCTTCAAGCACAAGCACAGAGCTGTGGCTTTGGTGATAAGTAAGGTGCTGATAAGCCTGCCTGATTTTCTACAAAATGGTCACCCTGTCAAGGCCCACAAAGAGCACAGTTTGTTCCCAACACCCCTTGCTGTGCTTTGGCAGGGACGACAGAAGGTTGCACTCTGGAAACTGCACCCACAGCCCAGGCTCTATGAACAAACACGGATTTAAATAAAGCATGCATAGAGAGAATCCTGAATTAACTGAAACAAGTTTTCAGTGTGAGGCTATCCATTTCCCAAACTATGCTTCCACATCGTCATGACCACAGTTTACCTCTCCAGCAACGCTCTTCTCTCATCCTGATTATTCTGCACTGTTGCTTCCAAGACAGCAATGTCCCCGCGTAAATCATCCGTCTGTTTCTCCAGCTCGCTCACTCGCCTCTGACTGCTTTGCCACTCTTTCTTCATGGTAGCCAGGTTTTCATTCAGAGCTGTGACCTGCATGGTGAGCTTGGTCTCCTTTTCCTCATGTTTCCGGTTTTCTTCTTCCTTCTCTTTTTTCTCTGTGTGCTAAGAAAACAATGGAACAATG